ATTAGCTGGCTTTTCATCTTCTACTCTTTTCACCTCTAAAGTCCATGTTCCAGGACGGACAGAGTTTTACATAAACATTAGCTAAAAATTTCAAGAAGTGTACTTTTGTATCAGCACACTCCACTGTTATGAGTTAAAGTATTACAATGCATTTGCTTCCAACTCAGTGAATTTAAACACCTTAATTTGTATAAAGCAACTGATAATTTACATCTATTAGCCCTTGGTTATTCTTCCCTTCATAAACAGCCTCCATTGTGCTTAACTGTGCATTTCTCAGTAGTTGAGAATTACTATTATCTGGGCAGAACTAAAAATAAAAAATAGTAAAAAAAAAAATTCATCTGAAAAAGCACAAAACTGATCAGCACACAACATATTGGCCATCTCTAGAAATGAAGTTAGCCACTGCTGCTTTTTTTTAAAATCTCTTGCAGGTTACCAGTGGCAGCTGAACAAAAGAAATGGGTGCTGGCGGCCGAAGGATTAGAACTTATGTCTGGACTCTCTCTCTGTGCCAGAATTTAACAGACACATAAGCCATTCTCCACTGAAAGCCAAGCAGTCCATGATTCTTTACAGTCTCTTGAGTGTCTCTACAAAGCCACAGCTGACTTGTCCAGCTGACTGCTTTTCTACCTCTTTCTTTTAACAGCCTAAGGTTTATTTTGAAGTCAAAGCTAAAAAGCACTCCGTTTTGCAAATGCTTAGAGCCAGTCTGCCAAAACCACAGAAGCAGAGACTATATCATCACCTCCAGCAGTTTTGAGAAAGATACTTTCTCGTCACTTATTTCTGCAATAAAGTTACTGCTGCTTTCTCTGCTCCAGTACACAAGACTCCAGGTGTGCTGTAAACTGCTCCAGTCTATGGGGGGTTACCTCAGACTGTCTGCAATTTGTACCTGCACAAACTGAATGTGGTCATCATCACTGCCATACACCTCAGCCTGTCCATCTAGCAGATTTCCATCAAGCAGCTTGTGATCAGCTGAGTAGTACAGCGTTTGAACCTGCAAAAACAACAACAGAATACCCATGTGGCTACCATCTCCAGTGCTACTTAGCTACAGGCAGAGTACAAAAGGCAGTCGCCAGCATACTTCTCGTCAGCTCATCTCAATCTAGCAGAATGCAAAACTAAAAGGAAGCAGATGTCATGGTGGCAATCTTCAACATTGGATGAAGGCTCCTTACTTTCTCAGCTTGAGAGAAATCTTCGTTTTTTCCAAGGGCTTCTGCTGTTTTTCCAGCACAGAAACATTAGACAAGCGAGATGCACATTAATTTGCAGAATTACACAAATTCACAAATCTCATGCAAGCATTTTTGTTATCCCCGCAAACAAGCTTTCTGCTTTGAAAAATACACGTATTTCTCTCGATCAAAAAGAGTTAAAGAGAAGGCAACAGTGGACTCAGAGCATGGGGATGAGGGACCACAACACAAGTTTAAGTTCTGGAGGAAACTGTTGTCCACAACGAAACATCAGATGCAACCATTTCAGTGAAATGCATCCGAATTTCAACATGATCAAAGGTTTTAAAATTAGTTTCTCCGAGAGGAAAGGTACACTTGAGAATATATGACAGTATCAACAAGTACTTCTGCACATTCAACTGATGCCGAATCCTTATCGTGCTTGTAATAACAAATTGGGAAAATATTGATGTTTCATGGGTTTTTGTAAAACCCATTTTCTCTAACCAATTAAGAATTTAGATTCCCCGCTCATTTTTCTCTTAAAAACTGCCCAGGCTACATCTAGTACCAGTATTCATGAGTAAAGCCATTTAATAACACACAACTTAAAAGAATGTATCCTGTAAAGGAGTAAGTAAACACCATTAAATCATCATCATCGTTCTCTGCCCACAGCGGATTTTCTTAGGAGAACTGGGGCAGGACTGCTGCTTCTGTACGTGTCAATACACTTGAGGTTTCTTCTTGGTTCTTCAGCCTTGGTATCCTAGTTTTGTTAATAAACCTATGGGGAGATAAACCAACGGGGAGGAACAACCATTAGAAGCTTTTACCTACTTCGCATTTACAAGCAAAACCTGCAAAAGGAAAACATCAAGAATCTACAGCAAGTTTCAGTACCACCTCCCCAAATTCTAAAGCAAGATACATGCCACTTTGAGGTTACTGTACAGCACATAGTGAGCAAAAAAGGAAAGCGGAAGACCAGACTGAACAGTTCATTCAGCTCACCTGAACACCCCCCCAGTTTCACAGCTTAGGGGTACCTACAGTAAAATTTAAATTCTTTAGGGTCATAGTTAAAAAAGTGAAAAAATAAAAAAAAATAAAAGAAAAAGGGATCATCCTAGTGAAAAAATAAAAAAAAAATAAAAGAAAAAGGGATCATCCTTCATATTGACTTTTAAAAAAAAAAAGAAAAGATGTTTAATCCCATTTTCTTAAAGACTAACCTCTTCCATTAGATCTTCCAGACTGTCTCCGTTCTCCCAGATGCTGCGCTGTACCCAGTTGATTACCTTTGTGTACAATTTGCCATTGCTAGGTAGGCCAACATTGTCTTCCAGCATCACTTCAAGCTTGAATTAGAAGAAGAAGAAAGGATGATTTACTCCAGTGGTATTATTACCCTTGTACTTGTAGCATACTGTACTGTGAAGCACACAGTGAGCTTCACTCTCACTTTACCGCACGGCTAAAAAGCGCCACGAGGAGGCTTTCAGCCTGTGCCACTGAAACTAGGGAGCACATTTAAGTACAACTGCAGATAGCTTTTACATTTAAAAAGGATGGTAGTATGTATTCTCTACAGTCAAAGTTCACAGCAGTATGAATATTATACACTTCTAGAATTTTCATATTGTTGGCAAAAGTCTGTACACCAAGTCTTCCTACTCCCCTAAAGGAAGCCGTAATAGTTGCTCCTCAGGTTGATTATGAAAATCCCGTACCAGAAGGAGGAAGTCTACAAACTTAAGCTCACCTTTAACCGTGGAAGCTTGAGAAATTCTTCCTGTTCTGAAATCTGTAAAAGATGTTCCTGAATGTAGCCATCGATCTTGTTCAACAAACGGGAGTCTCCCATACAACTTGCAAAGTTCCGGTAAGAGATACAGCTCTGAACATCCATCTTGGAGAGCAAGTAGTCACCACAAACCTTTTAAGAAAAAGAGGCTGCATCTTAGTTTACAAGTAGACAAGGTGTTTTAATATGTTTAAATTATCCACCCCAGCATAGAGCAACAGCTGTTTCCTAGCTGCAGAATAGTGACTGCCTGTTGTCATCCCTCCAAGAGAGCTGTAAATGAAATGCTGCCTTCCATAGGGACATGTGTATTTTAAAGGAAAAAAGCCATACATTCAAAAGCTACTCACATATACTTTGACCCCATGCTTTTCTATTGAACATCTATTTAAAACTGCTTATCTGCGGTCAGGCAAAGAATCCCATTTGCAGCAAGAATAAGTATTTCTAGAGTCAAGCTCTACCAAACCTATGTTTGGGAGTGTGTGGATTACTCTTTTTTCATTTGTCACAGATCTACAGGTTTAATTACGCCCCTAACACAACCAAGGCAACCACGAACCTGAAGGTAAGTAACCACCTACGATTCAGAAGCCTTTTTGCTTATTCGGGTGCACAAATACAAAACTCCAATTCAGAGAACCATTCAGCACAAAAGATAACACAAATGGAAGTGATATATATTGGTGTCACTCAAATCAATACAATCCTAGTGAAGAGGTAAAGAATCTCAGTCGCTGAGCACTTCTTCCACAGAATAAGCTTTTTGTTGTCACATTAACATAATGCTGTCAGCCTGAGAAAGCAGAATGGACTTCTGGAAGAGCTTAAAACTGTACCTGCTTCACTCTCTCCATCTTCAACTTCTTTGCTGCGGAATACACATCTTTCACCAGTTCTTTATCAGCTTTTAACCTATTAGAGAAAGAAATTTATCTTCAGTATTTTGATTTTTTTTTTTTAAATTGAATTCTACTGTCTCTAGGTTCTGTGAAAACTACTTACTGAGCAGTGTAGGCATAATTCAACAGAACTTCAACAGCTTCTGGATTGAGATCATCAAATTTAACATGGGAAATTCCATGAGAATCACTATCACTATTGAAGATTTCAAACAGGTAGGGACTGCAGCAAGCTAGCACGGCCCGGTGCGCCAACATCTCATGTCCGCATACCTTTATTTAAAACACAAGTAAAAAACCCACATGTTGGTAAGTTGCTTTTTTTTAGAGCATGTTTGTATTACAATAGTATAAAGGGCTATCCAAGCAAACGTCACAGCTCACATCAATTTTTCAAATCAATACAGTCTCCACATAGTATTACAGAGTGTAACAAAAAAACCCCCACCACGTTCAACCATCATACTCAGAAAAAAGTTACCTGGAGACGGACATCGCAGAACTGACCGCTTTTACGTAAGGCATTTAGTTTGGCAACAGATGACTCAATGAAGTTTTCATCTTCAAACATCAAATACCCATTAGGAATCATTTTGGTGTTGGTCTGGCTGAAAACAGAACGTACACAATTTAGAGACAAAACATTTTGCTTCAGTATGGAAGTACTACTACACTGTTTGCAAACATTCATAGGGAACTAAAAAAAAAAGTCGTAGATTTTTTCAGTAGAGAAGTATTACTGCTGATGAGTATATATTGACAACAACCTTTTGGATTGACTGGATTAATCATTTTCAGAGACTGAGGCCACAATTTTTAACTTATCTACATCACTTCAGTAGGTACCGACTCCACAACTACATGCTGAACGTGTGCTAGCTCCACAGGAGCAAGTTGGAAACCACTGGATTATAAAAGCGGCTTTATTTTCTTGGTTTTTTTAAAGCATGTTTGTATTACAATAGTATAAAGGGCTATCCAAGCAAACGTCACAGCTCACATCAATTTTTCAAATCAATACAGTCTCCACATAGTATTACACAGTGTAACAAAAAAACCCACTACGTTCAACCATCATACTCAGAAAAAAGTTACCTGGAGACGGACATCGCAGAACTGACCGCTTTTACGTAAGGCATTTAGTTTGGCAACAGATGACTCAATGAAGTTTTCATCTTCAAACATCAAATACCCATTAGGAATCATTTTGGTGTTGGTCTGGCTGAAAACAGAACGTACACAATTTAGAGACAAAACATTTTGCTTCAGTATGGAAGTACTACTACACTGTTTGCAAACATTCATAGGGAACTAAAAAAAAAAGTCGTAGATTTTTTCAGTAGAGAAGTATTACTGCTGATGAGTATATATTGACAACAACCTTTTGGATTGACTGGATTAATCATTTTCAGAGACTGAGGCCACAATTTTTAACTTAACAGAACGTACACAATTTAAAGACAAAACATTTTGCTTCAGTATAGAAGTACTACTACACTGTTTGCAAACATTCATAGGGAATTAAAAAAAAAGTCATAGATTTTTTCAGTAGAGAAGTACTACTGCTGATGAGTACATATTGACAACAGCCTTTTGGATTGACTGGATTAATCATTTTCACTAAAAAAAAAAGTCGTAGATTTTTTCAGTAGAGAAGTATTACTGCTGATGAGTATATATTGACAACAACCTTTTGGATTGACTGGATTAATCATTTTCATAGACTGAGGCCACAATTTTTAACTTATCTACATCACTTCAGTAGGTACCGACTCCACAACTACATGCTGAACGTGTGCTAGCTCCACAGGAGCAAGTTGGAAACCACTGGATTATAAAAGCGGCTTTATTTTCCTCTACAACAATCAGATTTGGTAGATTCATTGCTATTTTCTGCACACTCTTTGAGATTTGTCATATTGGTCAGCTAAATTTTTTTTTGCATAGACCCGAAAACCAGCTACATTGAAATATAGAATGGATCGTTTAAAGTAACTAGTGAAGTAAAAGAATAGCTATAGAAATAATTTTTTGTTTAATTTTATGGGTAATTACTTAATTAGATTTTTTTAGAGTAGCTGGAAGCCATGAAAGAACATTAGCATCAAAAAACCAGAGTGAAATACACTCTGAACAACGACCATCATGAAGCTAAAACAAGCCCTCTGAAGATCTTACTCATATACAAACACACCACCTTAAGTAAATTAGACCAAGACTCAAAAATAGCTTCAGAAAACCTAGCTTTTGAATTTGGAAACTATTTTATGAAGTCATTTAATGGATATTTTTTTTTTTTAGCTAAGCACTTTTAGGAAAAGTCCACTTTACAAACAGAAAGCTAATTAAGAATACTAAAATATGACCCTGAAGTAACCTAATGAATTTGAAATAATAATTAACAATAATATTTTAAAAAACATATATTGAATTTGTAAGTTTGAGCTGCTAACATAAGAAATTTTAGAGGAAAGAATACATGGGATGCTACTAACGTGACCAGCAATAATTTATATTTCCGTCTGAAGTTGTAAGAAAATTCTGAAGATCCCACTAAGCAAGAAAACCATCAAAATAGAAAAAGCAGATAGCAAAAATCAGTACTAAAACCAGCATACCTCACACAAAATAGTTCTAGTGTTAATCCTTTTATTTTAAAGCACTTGCTACTGAAAGCATTTAACTCTAAACTGTAAAAAAGAATCTTATTTACAAAGATTACTATCCTTTTCTATATACTTTCATACGCTGTGTTTTCTTAAAAAAAGGACAGCAAGGTTTTAAAGGCACAGAATTTCATCAAAAGTATTAACTCTTGTATACATGGCTAACAGTATCAACTTACCTAGCAAATGTATCACTGTAAATTTTTCACTGGGAGATCTTCAAATAATCCAATGGTATCACTGTGTTAAAACAGAGCACTTCAGTTTTGGTATCTTCTGACAGGGAAGATGTTTGTTGCAATTGAAAAGCAGATGTATCTTTGCAGCTGCAATATGGATTCCAAAACTATCAGGCTTGAAGATGATGTAATAAAGTCCTTAAGAGCTATAGACATGAATTTCTTCTGTGATAATCATGCATCATAATCTGCAAGAAAGAAGAAGTTATCAAATAAGGACATAAATAGAGTACTGTGCATTTCAGATGAAACTTTAATAGCGTCTTGAAGTAGAAGTTCCTGACCCAAACAAAGTTTTTCTCCACAAAAAGAAAACGGCCTGAAAAATCCAATATTGACACCAGTACATTCTCATGCCTAACAAGAGGTCAACCACATCAATTTTTATACCCACAGAGACAAGTAGCTAAATTAGTGCTCAGAGAAAAAGTTAGAACACCTGAATCCCATTTTTAGAAAATTCCTTACCAACTCTAACCTTCAGCACTTCCTCTATCTAGATCATGATTGCTTGCTTACACAAGTAGGTAACTCTTCAGTAACACAGCAAAAAATGACTACATTTTTAAAAAGAAACCAACCTACACGTCTCCTACCTTTTGCTTTTCCTGTACTCATCTACTTATATCCTTCTTCTACTGAATGCCTAAAATGGCCTGAAGATGGATTAAGGACACGTCTGAAATGACTGGGCATGTCTCCAGTCTCCGGTACTTCCAAAAAAGTTTTAGAGTTGGAAATTGCTAGTTTGATGATAACCTCCTTGGATAAAAAGTTTCTTTGCTACCCTGCAGACAGAAACTGTTAAATTCTGGTCAAGTTGTGCACTGGCAGTGCACACTGGGGTAGCTTTGTTGGGATTCTGCACGGGAGCAGGCTGTTTATGCTGGGCTTTTTCGGGGAGGGGAGAAGAGGAGGAGGAGCAGCAGTAGCAGGGAGGGAACAGGCAACAAACACCCACTCTGGAACTTTCCATGACCCTGATGCCATGGGGAGGGGAGAAGAGGAGGAGGAGGAGCAGCAGCAGCAGGGAGGGAACAGGCAACAAACACCCACTCTGGAACTTTCCATGACCCTGATGCCACCTCGGGAAAACATCAATCACTTCATCCACTTGAGTTCCCCACCGTAGTTCCAAAACTGTATTTGTATCTACAGATTAAATGCCACATTGGGAATCAGGTTTCTTAAAAAAACAGGTGCAGCTCGTTTTTCCACATCAAAAAATTAAAAGTCACCTATGTTGTAGGCAGGAAAGCCTCAAGACCCGACTGCCTGGCCAGCACTTAGACACGGGATTATTTTGGCACCTCCCTTGGTCTCTAAGCAGATGAGGAGCTCAAGCAGGAGGCTGATTCTCAAGAGCAGCAGGGGGCATTATCCCACCACATACCAGCTCCACAGGAACACCCCTCCCATCCTGAAGAGCTTCTTGCAACCCTGAAGACAGAGTTATTTCAGCCAGCAGATAACCACGTAGAAAGAATAAATGTTAATTACATTTTGGCTACCAGAACAGAGATGAACACATACATATGGAGACAGAAACAAGTGCTCCAGAGCAGCAGTGGTGTCTGTCTGTAATACAGTAGCCCCTGAATGCAGGGAGGACAAAGGGGACAACACCACGGGGACAACAACTTTCTACATCATACTTTAACATCAGCACACTTCACTACAAAAAACCTCAAAAATTAAACGTACGTTCTTTTTATAATCCTACAGGCAAGCTATGAAACGGAAACTAAGCTCTATTTACCAAATATTATTTAACTAAGCATTTGGAAGGCAACATTTCTCTTGTTGGTACAACTGGTATGATCGTTTCAGTTTCTAAAGCAACCAAAACATTTCCCTTTTCAAAACAGAAGTACACAGTCTGACTTCCACACTTTCCCCAAAAATTCACCTCGACTGAAATATTCTGTCGTTCAAAGACACAGAGGTATTATTTCAACACAACTGTTGCTATGAATTAGCTTACAAAGAAAGTTACAAGAATCTATTAGAAGTTATGCTTCACCAAGACTACCCATGAACGTACAAGAGAATTATCACCAAAAGACCTCTGACTTTATTTCAGATTTTAAACCTTGCATTTCCATTGCAGGAATTACCCAGGCACAATGGCTAGACCCACGTAGCCAAATGCAAATTATAGGAGGCATCTAAAAAGGAGAGCCAAGGGAGACAAACTCCAAGCTCCAGTCTGGAGTTGCACTGGATGGTCAGCACAGCCTCAGAGCATTTTGGTGAAAAGGCTTGGAGAAACCCAGTCGCCACTTGCTTCATATTCTGAGCAGAAAATGACACATCACCCATCAGATTATCCACCTTGCCCACACTGGGTTTAAACCAGCTTTTTCTCAACTGCCAGCTCTCACAAAGAAGTTCTGTTGTTAACCAAGTAGAGGTCCGTAATTACCAAGGCAAATTAAAAGTATATTGCTACCACAGTTCAGACAAACAGGCTACTGCTCTGCTCACACATCACATTATGCATTCCCCCATTCAGTATTCATTGGGATTGCTGTTAATTACCAGTATTGATGCGTTGGGGAGATGTCAAGTTACACACAACAACTATTCAAACAATTTCAACTAGATTCAAGAATCATCCTTGGTCAGTTTACATCTCTGGGCAGGTTTTGCCACGTTCTGCCATAACAGAAAAACTTCAAGTGCAGTACTTGCTTACAACCTTCAAGACCTATAAAGGACATCCAAAATAATTCTGGACTGAAATGGAAGATCTGTCTTTTAAAGTCCTCCTTTGTGGAGGTCAAAACCACACATTTTGCATTTCTGTGCCTAATAGTACTGTCCAATCTGAATATCTAGGAATTTGAATGTCTTAATTACTGCTACAAAGTTTCAGTACTGTTTTGTGTAAACCATGGCTAATATTACTGCACAAAATGGCATTAAATAGCACGAGTATATTCACTACTTTCTGCCTTTTTTTGGTTTGGTGTACTACTGCTAGAACAAGAGCCAAATAAGCCAAAATTTAATGAAAAACCATGAATGATGCATTTTCTGTATTACAGGTTATAAGCAGGTACTGTAAACAAATTTCTTTCTTAAATTATTTTAAGCACCTAAATAACTTTGTCATTACCTTTTCCCCACCCCCTTGCTTATACTCCCTTCTAACTTACCACATCAAGAAAGTTTACTGTTTTATTTTCTCATTTTTCAGGATTTTGAACTTCTTAAACCAAGTGTGGTGTTCACAATCATTACCAGCCAGGTAAAGTACAAAGTCTGATGCCTCTGAAAGGATTACCTTTTGAGCTCCATCAAAATATAATTATTCAAACACATTAAAGCTACAGAATGAGCATTCCAGAATGAGAACAAAACATTCAATTTCAAAAACTCTTACTGGACAGCAGGCCTATTTCCTGCATTATTTTTAAACGGAAAGAATAATAAATAAATAAAATTTTAAAAGAGCAATATATAAACTCTGGATTGCCATTCTAGTTGTAATATTGATACTGGTGTTGAGCCTGGAGGCACCACCTTCAACCAGGAGTGGATCACACTGGGGTAACACTGCAGTGGACTGAGACAGGCCAGGAGCCATGAAGCATTCACGTGGTGTGTTTCAATGACATGGCTGTACCCAAGCAGAGGAAAGGCAGTACTCACATGTCTGCCCAGTTGCTCGATTTAAACATAATTGTGTTCTAATAATTGGGTTTCCCAAACACACACTGTCATGCACTGACTGAGACTTTCATTGGCTCCTGGACCATGAAAAATTCATGGCTCATAATACACTTGGAAATGAATTTGCTGCACGTAACTGGCTTCCAGAAGAGAAATTTCCTCCCTTTAAACTCCTATTTCACTGTATATACATTTAAAGATACACTTAAAACGACTCACCTAAATAACAATACTAAGTCTTCTCATCCTTCACAATACTATCCTCTTAGATGTCTTGCAAATACTACTGAAATATGATTAGCTCAGTTACAAGAGCAAATGTATGTCACTATTTATACACTTAGAATTGTTACTTGCATTTAGAATTTAGAAACTGTTCATTGCAATTTTTTAAAAACAGTTTTTCACTGCAGAAAACATTCCAACATTTCAAAAAACTTGCCAGAAGATGACTACTGTTGAATTTCTCCCAGATCCAAAAACCATTATCGTGCCCTAGGACCCTCCACTGCTGAACCACTTTCAGGGGACATTGGAGCTGTGGTGTCAGGTGAGGTTTCAAGACAACGGGTCCCAGAGACACATACTGAGTCACCTTGCCCATGACCTATCAACACAGGCAGTGTTTATTTTTCCTCCCATCTGGGAACTCTCCTCTTTAGTATACTCCATTGGTACTTTCCATGCGCAGTATTTCATTAAAAAAGTAAACAAAGCCCTTGCTTTGTGCCAATTTTGCACTAACTTTTTTTTCTTTCGGTCAGATTAAGGTATTACCTCTTCAACTTGAGCAAAACGCTAACTTGTGTTTTACTAACTTGTGTGGGGGAGATATTTTTATATCTTTTTATTTACTTGTTGATATAATGATTGACACTTGTTGGTACAGTGAAACAACAATGGAATTTAGCACCACAGTTGGTGCTTCTTAGCTGCTGTGGCCTTTCTGGCTTTCCACAGCCTAGTTCAGAAGAAATGTAGGTCACACCTAAAACTACTTTTACCTGGATCAGAAGATAAAACCAGACGTCCTCAAAAATGTTCTTTCATACATTAGCAATTATTTATGGTAAAAACACACAATCTTTCCATGTCTTAAGTTTCTATTTGGGGAAAACATCATGGATCAAGACACCTATCAAATACTTTAGGCTCAGCTTCTTCACACCAGTGATTTAAAGTAAGACTCATAGAATTTATATCAATTTTGGTTTGCACATTTACTTTTCAGCTGTTTTCTACTAAAGATTTAGTCTCATTAATAACAATGATGTATAAACAAAACTGTTCTATTTCACTGCAATTCGACCTCAGCTCTGCTTATGTGTTGTCCATTCCTCCATCCATCCACTTGTCATCCCCCTGCCCCAGCAACAGCAAGGGGAAAGGGAGAGAGTATTTACTATCACCAGCTAGGAACTATGGGGAAGGAAACAGTGGACATTTTCCAAAATCTTCTACACAGAGTCCAAGATGTACTCTGCCCTCTATAGACAGCAAGTCTAGAGAGCTCTTTCAAACACACATTTATGTATGTAGACTTCAAAAATTTATGAGAAGCAGATTTTATGCTTGAATGTTTCTATCCTCTTCCAACTACAACTCTCAGCTGTAACACACCAGCTGCCCATTTAATACTCGCTTCTGAAGCCATCCCCCCATGCTTTTGATATATTCTCTTTTCTTCTGTGTTTTAGTACTGGTCATTATGTCCTCTTTCCATACAGGTTCTGCATTTCCCCTTCTCCTTTTCCACCACGTTATACTTTTGTTGTTGTTGTCATTGTCTTTACCTACACCTCTTTTTCTACCTTCTGCCTCATGCATGCAGAGGCCTTTCATCTTTGAAAGCTCTTTCCTTTTTTCCCCATTTTCTTTTTTCTACTAACACATGCTTCCCATAGTTCTTCAAACATATGTCACACAACTAGGGAATTGATCTTTTGTTTGTTTTGTTGGTGTGTCCTTGTCTCTCACCCCCCACTCTGAGCATTTTTTTTCCTTTCTTACCATCTCCTGCTCCTTAAGAACTCAAGCTGAAGAAAAAAAAAAAAAAAATCAGACCTATTTACAGGAACTAAAGTACTGTTTCCTAACTGGAAAGTATTCCTTGACTGTTGCATCCTGTGCTCTAGGAGTTAGGCTTGTTGCTACAAAATCCGCTTTCTAAAATTAAACCAATCTCACCATCATCAAAGCACCACATCCTGCTTGGTTTCTTATTTTGCAGATCCCTAGCAGAGGAGAATAAAATGGGATGTCTAGACACCCATCACTCGAAACAAAAAAAATCCTCCCCTTCACAAACCAAGACAAATAGAGAGTGACATGATACTGAATTTCCACTAGTCTATCATTGCTCAGTCTTATTATCCTTCTCCTTAGTAAATAACTCCGATGTCTTGCCTCTCACTTTGTCAACGTTTTCCCACCCTGGGTGAAACTGCAGCCAATTCAGTTTTTATGCCTCTGGGAGTCCTGGGAGTAACAGTGAAGCTGACGATGAGAGGATAATTTTCTACCTTGAAGCACCTCTGAAAAAAATCCTGAAAAACTGATGGAAATTTGGGTATGCAGGCAGAAAATACTGTCATTCTCCCTGCCCTCCCCCCCAACAAAAACCAAACTAAAACCCAACCCTTCTGGTCACTCACACTCATCACCTTTCTCCAGAAGCACTAATGCGGATTGACAGCCACTGTTTACGCTGTATTATCTCCCATTTCCTAGTACTGGTGTAGATGACAGGGAGGGTCATGACATTGGCGACCAGCTGTCAGCACATGTTCTTCACCCAGAAACGTCTCTTTTTCTCCACTCAAAGTCTAAGGACTTTTGCGATTCTTCTCCTCCCCCCCGATAAAGGGCTGAGAGAGGTGCCACCGGGCGGTTGCAGCGTGGCGCTTTGGAAAGGCGCGCAGGCAACGCCTGACCTTGGAACAACACCCACCCCCGGGGGGGGGAACACGCGATTTTCTGGGCCGGGGGCCACAGACCAGCCCCCACCCGCCGCTGCTGCCCGTGCGGGGCCACGGCAGCGCCGCCGACCCCCGCACTCCCCCGGCGGCCAGAGCCCCGCGGGACGAGGCCCCGCAGCCCTGAGGGAACCGACCTCCGGCCACCCAGGGCCTTAACGCCGCTTCGCCGAGAGCAGGGCGGCGCGGCAACTTCCAGCTCTGCCCTGCCTCCCGGAGAGAGGCCCCGCTCCTCTTCCTTCGCCCCGGGGAGGGCAGGGGGCCAGAGCGGGCGACGGGCAGGGCCGCCACCCCCGGGCCTCCCGCGGCCACCGCCACCCCCCGCGCCAGCGCCGAGCGGGGAACAAAGAGCGGCGGAGCCTGCCCGGCCGCCCCCGGCCTCATGGTCGCTGCTCGCCCCCCCCTCCTCCTCCTCCGCCGCATTCTCCCTCACAGCCGGCACGGGCCGCCTCCGAACCGGCCGCCCGGGACGTCCCGCCGCCGCCGCCCCGCCGTACCTGGTGCCTCTCAGCGCAGACGATGCTGTTCATATTGGGAGCCTCCAGGCTGAAGGGGAAGCCGACGCGGAAAGGCAGCCCCAGCCCGCCGGGAAGAAGGAGCGGAAGGCGAGACGAGGCGCTGCTAAGGGAGAGGGAGCGAGGAGCGGCGGGAGCCGGCCGAGGCGGAGCGGGGGACAGGGCGCCGAACGGAGGGACCCGCCGGGGCGCGGCACTGCGTCCCGTAACCCTCCGCCTACGACGGGGCGGGCGGCATCGCTCCGCCGAGAAACAAGTCCGGCCGCGGAGGGAGGGGCGCGGCGCGGGGCGGGGGCGGGGCGCGGCAGCCGGGGCTCGCCTGAGGGAGCGGCGGCCGAGGGTCGAGGGAACCGGCCGGGGCTGGAAAGGCCCGGGAGGGACACGCAGGCCCGGGAGGAGAAGCCGGGGCTGGGTCCGCGTTTCCGCGAGTGGTTCTCGGCCACGAGCCCACCTGATTCGATAAGTTGCATTTTTCAGACCCGGCGTCGCTTTTTCTCCTCAGCGATGACTTCCTCTCATGGCAGGGAGCCGTGCTCCGAGGTGTCACGCCCGCACACGACGGCAGGCAGCCCACTTTTACCACAAAACACCACCTTTAAACGCTGGAGACTCCCCCTGGCAGCCTGTCCCCTGGGCTGGGCCCCGACTCTGGCTCCAGCACCCCCAAATCCTTCTGGGAAAGGCCTTTTCGCACTTGGGTGAGAAACATCCCCCCCGACTTTTCACAGTACATCCTCTCTTGCTAGGTGAAGCAGTTTTAAAACATCGCTGTTGATAAAGGAGGAGTGTTTGAAGCCTTCTCTCTTTGTTCCCTGCTCGCATGCGAGAGCAATGGGTTTCTGATTCATGGCTGGGACCCCCCCCTCCAAGTGCCGCTGCAACATCATCATAAATAAAACATGGAGCAGCGTGACGTCGGAGGTCCCTTGCTGCCTTCCTGATTTAAATCACCAAGGTCACCTGGAAGACAGGGATACACTTTCCCCTCCTGCTTTCTCCTGATTTGGAGGCTGCGTTGGTCAGAAACTAAGGAACCTGTTGGGGTATTATGTTAAATACAGCTTCAGCGTCTGAGCTGGCAAATGTGTATGACGTCTGTGATGATTACCCATTTCTCTAATATTCTTCCAGAATTGACTTTTCACAGTACATCCTCTCTTGCTAGGTGAAGCAGTTTTAAAACATCGCTGTTGATAAAGGAGGAGTGTTTGAAGCCTTCTCTCTTTGTTCCCTGCTCGCATGCGAGAGCAATGGGTTTCTGATTCATGGCTGGGACCCCCCCCTCCAAGTGCCGCTGCAACATCATCATAAATAAAACATGGAGCAGGGTGAGTCTGTGGTCCCTTGCTGCCTTCCTGATTTAAATCACCAAGGTCACCTGGAAGACAGGGATACACTTTCCCCTCCTGCTTTCTCCTGATTTGGAGGCTGCGTTGGTCAGAAACTAAGGAACCTGTTGGGGTATTATGTTAAATACAGCTTCAGCGTCTGAGCTGGCAAATGTGTATGACGTCTGTGATGATTACCCATTTCTCTAATATTCTTCCAGAATGGCTGTGAAGCACGTTTCAAAACACTCAAGTTGGATGATTCTGAGGTTTCAAGCAGAAAGCGCTTCAAAATACTGCAAATATTGGTCTTGTCTCATCAGAAGCGAGCAGAGGCCACAGGTATGTGCCTCCCCTTTGCAAACCGACAGGACAAGGGGTAGCGGTTTTAAATTGGAAGAGGAGAGATTCAGATTAGATACCAGAAAGAAATTCTTTACTGTGAGGGTGGTGAGACACTGGAACATGTTGCCCAGAGAAGCTGTGGCTGCCCCATCCCTGGAGGGGTTGAAGGCCAGGCTGGATGGGGCTTGGAGCAACCTGGCCTGGTGGGAGGTGTCTCTGCCCATGGCAGGGGGGTTGGAACTAGGTGACCTTTATAGTCCCTTCCAACTCTAACCATTCTATGATTTTATGACTCTGTGAATCCCACTGTCTCTGGAGACACACACAACAGCACAGTGCCGATGCTGCCGCTGGGCCCTCTCTTCAGCTTCTCCTTTTGCCGGCAGCAAACAGGACGGTCTCGACTTCTCACCTCTCTCCAATACATTTCCACTCCCTCCTCCTTTGAATTTTTAAATCACCAGCCACACCTCAGTGCCTGCCTTCCCTCCCTCTTGCTTTCTTTTTGAATGAAGCTTCTTATTAGGGCCATGCTAATCAAAGGCACTTGTGGTAAAGCTGGGAGAGGGAGGCGAAGACAAAAGACGGGAACTGTGATCAAATAAAACAGTGCTGGGAATGTTCCTTAATTAAGTAAATCTCAGGATTGCGCAAGCTGCTCTTCCAGTATTCTTAGGAAAGGAGATGTCTTTATGAATCACCATTAATTTTCATTATCAGCCACTGCTAGTTATGTCAAATAGCAAGTATAGCATCTTCCCAGCAGCACAGAGTTAACAGATGGGTGTTTCCAGTTCTTTTCACATAGATCCTGGTGACGTTTAGGATTTTGTGAACCCTGGCTAGGCTGGGAGCTCAGGCACATCTCCTTTGGGCCAGTTGCATTCTGACCACTCAAATGCACCTCCCACTGAAAAAAAAAGGGGTTTTTTCTCCGCCGCTTGCTTTGTAACCAACACAAAATTAGTTTACATCATTAAAACACCATTGCTCCAACTGAGATGTGGCTATATTTCCTATGATCGTGGAAAAAACTTCTGTAACGTGCTCAATTTGCTAGGTACTGTGCAATCCTTTCCCATTAAAGGGGAATGAAAATCCCCATGAAATGGGGAATCCTGACGCACCTCCAATGAAAAATAAGGTTTTTTTTCTCTTCTGCTTGCTTTGTAACCAACACAAAATTAGTTTACATCATTAAAACACCATTGCTCCAACTGAGATGTGGCTATATTTCCTATGATCGTGGAAAAAACTTCTGTAACGTGCTCAATTTGCTAGGTACTGTGCAATCCTTTCCCATTAAAGGGGAATGAAAATCCCCATGAAATGGGGAATCCTTCCCCATTTTCTGCAAAATCTTAACTGAATTCTGAAGAACACTTTATTGAAAGGGACCAGTGAGACTGAGTTGATACCAGCTGACTGAGTTGCTGGGAGGTAAGCCAGAAGGACTAGTTAGCACATGTGCAACAACCAGGGCTGTGATGTTCATTAGGGTCTTAGATCTCCTGGTTTGATAACTGTCCTAGCCTGTAACAGTGTTCGTAAGATGGTGAGAACACTTCTTTAACAAAACCACTTCTTTAACAACACTGTGTTTAGAAAACAATTAGTAAAGTTATGCTTGTGGAGGCTCTGAATGTTCTGCATACCTGTTGTCTCCCACCATGAAAGACATAGTCTTTTTAAGGACCAGTGAGACTGAGTTGATACCAGCTGACTGAGTTGCTGGGAGGTAAGCCAGAAGGACTAGTTAGCACATGTGCAACAACCAGGGCTGTGATGTTCATTAGGGTCTTAGATCTCCTGGTTTGATAACTGTCCTAGCCTGTAACAGTGTTCGTAAGATGGTGAGAACACTTCTTTAACAAAACCACTTCTTTAACAACACTGTGTTTAGAAAACAATTAGTAAAGTTATGCTTGTGGAGGCTCTGAATGTTCTGCATACCTGTTGTCTCCCACCATGAAAGACATAGTCTTTTTAATTAATGAATGGAAAGCCCTCTCCTGGAAAGCCCTCTTGTTTCTCTTACAAATGGTGTGTTACTCCTAAATCAAACGGTTTGTAGGTGTCCCTGGCTCTGACATGGCTCTTCTGCTGGTCCCTGTCTCGTTGTAAGGGGCTCCAGATGTCTCATCTAAAGATCTCGTGTCTAAAGGAAAGGCTGAATTAGTTAACTCTAGATGTTGCAAGGGCTTTGAACTTTGCTTCCACCCAAGCTTAGTCATGAAGACTACCTGAGAGGGGAAAACACTATATTTGGTGAAAGCAAAATATGTGCCTTGGATTGCTGCATTAAAAATGGATAAATTGTTGAAAAAAATATGTTAGTCCTAGAAGTAAGAACAAGACCTGTTTTCACTTAAGCAACTCTACAATATATCTTTAAATCTAGCATCACGTAGTGTTTCTCTTTGGACACCAATTAGTGTAGCTCAATGAAGTACACCATCTGAGTGAGGTATGCTACCAGTCAACGATCTGGCCCGTGGTTTTCTTTTAAAATGAAAATTGTTTTTGTGAAAGAGTATGTTTTGTGAAACTGAATACAATTTAGTGAAACATCATTTATTAAATATAAATTTAAAATATGTATAGATATGTATTGCAGTTGAAGGTTACTTGTGCTCTCCATAACTATGACATAGACCACATAAGTTTTTCCTTGCTGCATTTTGGAAGGATTTTCAGTAATTCATTATGGTTGCAGAAATCCTTGTGTAGAACATGTCTTGTTGGTGCCTTGGCTCTCAGAGTCCTTAGCGGTGACATTTTAATGGTGTTTAGGGTGTAGAGACTGTGTTGGAATTAATGCTCTGCGTTGGACTGTTTCCTGTAAATTCTGGCAGGTTGCTTGCCATCTGGCTGGCTGATAACAGCTACTCCGAGGAAGGCAATGTGTCTCCTTTCCTTTTCCCTGTTCTTAGGCAAAGCCACGATCATTTTGGATGACTTCTGTGCTTGGGAGCAAAGAGTGTAGGAAATTTACATGCAGGATGAAAGAGAATTTAAAAGACCTGGTTTTAATAGCTGTGGCCTCAAGTTTTAAAGGCAGGTTCTCCATTAAGTCTCTGTTCACCATTCTTCCCCCACAGTGACCTTTCTTTATTTCAAATAGTTTTGTGTTGGATGGAAAACCAGAAACTCTCTTCCACGCCAAGGTTATAAATTCTGTCTTGTCTAATTTCCATTAAGCAAACAGAAGTCTTTTTGTCATTTTCATTAATTACATTGGATGAAATCCATAGGAGATATGCTGAGGATTCTGACAGAGCCACAAGTTAATGTCTTAAAAACCTCCACATTTTCTGACTACCTGTCCTTGAAGGATCAGTCCTGCGATCTCAAAACCACAGCTTGTAGGATGAAGCATCATGGGAGCTCCCAGTTGAAAATA